AGGACTGTACCATCTCTAACTAGTCCTTCATGTACCTTCACTACTTATATAAGGACTGTACTAACTCTAACTAGTCCTTCATGTACCTTCCCAACTTGTATTAGGACTGTACTAACTCTAACTAGTCCTTCATGTACCTTCCCTACATGTATTAGGACTGTACTAACTCTAACTAGTCCTTCATGTACCTTCCCTACATGTATTAGGTCTGTACTAACTCTAACTAGTCCTTCATGTACTTACCCTACATGTATTAGGACTGTACTAACTCTAACTAGTCCTTTATGTACCTTTCCTACTTGTGTTAGGAATGTACCAACTTTAACTAGTCCTTCATGTACCTTTCCTACATGTGTTAGGACTGTACCAAATCTAACTAGTCCTTCATGTACCTTCCATACTTGTATTAGGTCTGTACTAACTCTAACTAGTCCTTCATGTACCTTTCCTACATGTATTTTGCCACTTAGCTTGATCGGCTTTTAAACTTCTTTTTAAAAAATGTGTTTTTTCTCATCCTCAATACGTAAAAGAGCAAATGGATAATTTTATGCATTATCAAAAAATCATATTTGAACATCCTTAAAAGAAAATATATTTTTCATATTTGAAAGGAATGTATTTTGTTATCACAGAATTGAAATACTTTTACAATAAATGTCAGCCTTAAATTTGGATGAATTAATGATTAATAACATATTTTTGATTCTAGATTTTTAATCTGAAAAATACAATTTACGAACTTTTATCATTTAGAAGTTTTTTGACTCCTAGATTTAGTATATGTATAGGAGAGTAAAGAACCAACTGTAGGAGTTCCAACTCCTGTATATTCGAGAGTATAGAACCAACTGTAGGAGTTCTAACTCCTGGTATATAGGAGAGTATAGAACCAACTGTAGGAGTTCTAGTTCTGTATATAGGAGAGTATAGAACCAACTGTAGGAGTTCTAACTCCTGTATATTCGAGAGTATAGAACCAACTGTAGGATTTCTAACTCCTGGTATATAGGAGAGTATAGAACCAAATGTAGGAGTTCTAGTTCTGTATATAGGAGAGTATAGAACCAACTGTAGGAGTTCTAACTCTAGTATATGTATAGGAGAGTATATAAAACCAACTGTAGGAGTTCTAGCTCCTGTATATTGGAGAGTATAGAACCAACTGTAGGAGTTCTAGCTCCTGTATATATGAGAGTATAGAACCAACTGTAGGAGTTCTAGCTCCTTTATTAGGAGAGTATAGAACCAACTGTAGGAGTTCTAGCTCCTGTATATAGGAGAGTATAGAACCAACTATAGGATTTCTAGCTCCTGTATATTGGAGAGTAAAGAACCAACTAAAGGAGGCTGCTACTCGTATCTCATCTGTTGCTTATACTGCCCTGTCCTTTTCTGTTCTTTCAAATAAACAACTATAACGAATAAATAAATAAGATTGGTCAACCATTCAGATTCTTTATTGGTTTTTAATAAAAAGGCATAAGAATAAATTTCATTCTGAAATATATATTTTAGGTGTGTATGTTAATGAAGATTAGTAATTAGTCGGCCTATAAAACTTTTTGACATTATTGACAATTTACTAAACTTAATTTGTTTAACTTAATACTTTTAAGATATATGCAAGGTTGTAGTGCATTAATCAAAAACAGTATTTAAGAATGTTTAAACGAAATATTAATATGCACTGTATACTGAAGGGATTGTATAATTAATGAACAGCGTAATCACATATCTTGAATTTATTAATTTTATTTTATTGAGTTCCTTAATCCAAACTGCACTTTAGCCACCTTTTTTTGTATTTGCCCCATCAGGATTATACTCCCTTGTGGTTTAATTGTTTTTTTTTGATTGCACGAATCTGCATCTAGCGGATTCGCATTTTTATATAATTTATGTCCCCATTTTATCTTATTTTTGATTTAATTAGATCGTATGTGTTCACATTTATTTATTTGCTCAATAGGTTTAGGAGAAAAATTATCACATTTTCAGAAGAAAAAAACATTAATTTCTAACATACTTAAAAATTAAACACATTTTGTTGAAGTGTAAACTGTGTAATTATATTTAGTAATGTGCAATCTGTAAAAGCAAACTGTGTACTAATATCCAATATTGTACAACCTGTGTAAGTGTACTGTGTACTAATATTCAATATTGTACAACCTGTGTAAGTGTGCTGTGTACTAATATCCAATATTTTACAACCTGTGTAAGTGTACTGTGTACTAATATTCAATATTGTACAACCTGTGTAAGTGTACTGTGTACTAATATTAAAAATTGTAGAACCAGTGTGTAAGTGTATCCTGTACTAATATTGAATATTGCAAAACCTTTTTAAGTGTACTGTGAACTAAAATTGAATATTGTACAACCTATGTGAGTGTACTGTATAATGACATCAAATATTGTAGAACCTGTGCAAGTGTAATGTGTACTAATATCAAATATTGTACTACCTATTTAAGGGTACTGTTTACTAAAATTGAATATTGTACTGCGTATGTAAGTGTTCTGTGTACTAATATTGAATATTGTTCTACCTAAGTAAGCGAACTGTGTATAAATATCAAATATTGTACTACCCTTGTAAGTTTACTGTGTACAAAAATTGAATATTGTACTGCCTATGTAAGTGTGCTGTGTATTTATATTGAATATTGTACTACCTAAGTAAGCGAACTGTGTACTAATATTAAATCCTGTAGAACCTATGCAAGTGTACTGTGTACTAATATTGAATTGCAAAATACTTTATTTGTGGTTAAACTATTGCTTAAGAAATATTTTCCTTCTAAATTACAACACTGATTTTTATCCTCCTCGGGAATGAGCCGAAAACTTTAGGATGAGATATCACTATTGATTTTCTTCTTAAACCGATCTTTCTTGGATATAGAAGAAAAAAAATCAAAAACCGATTTTTAAAACCGTTTCTGTATATTAATCTTAAATGGCGCGCAAAATTTCAATTTTATCGGCTTCATATACACGACTCTGATTGGCTGAATTATATACACTTTTTAGGATACAAGTACAAGATTAGGTTAGCCTCGATATTAAGAAAAAGAGCTGGTCAATCATTAATCTCGATATCCACCATTCTAAAGTTTTTTTCAGCTCTGTACGCGTAATTTCAAGAGTGACTTGTACGACTTGACGATCAAGTATGACGGAGCTATCCTTATTTCTGTCAGAAACGCTTGTAAGGGTAGAACACTTTGTTTACAAACTGTTTTATATTTGAGAAATATTACCATGCACGGTTTAGAACTTGCAGAAAATAAATATTTGCCCTCCATGGTCATTCAAAGGTTTAAATCGTGCCGTTACATCGTATACTCACTTTAAAGTCACTGAGGAAGGTTGGAATTTTGTGTTTAGATAAAAACTTTCATGGATTACAACATTTGCATTATTTGGATTTCATTTAAAATATCTGCTTTCATTCTTGAAATGTTTAGAAATTAGGTTGTTTTATCAAATTTAGGAGCAACAATTTATTTGATTTTTCTAAAATTTGGTTAGCTTCACAGAAAAGGAACAAAATTACTTGCTTCAAACTCTAATTTTCTAATGACATGAAGCGATTTCTTAGTTCCTTTCCTATAATTTAATTAAAGAATATTACAACACATGCAATGCTTGCAAAAGAATCGATTTTGTAAATTTTTTAAAGAGTAAAAGAATGAAATTATACAAAAGATGTTGTTAAATATAGCAGAAATTAAAAAGAAGCAAAAAAATGCCCATTTTATCAAAAAACAAATTTTTTTTACATATGTTAAAAACCGTGTTTTTTTCAATATTAGTTTAAAATCTACAATTCTTTTACCTGTTGCTATTTATTGCCAATAAATACCAACAATCCTCCATCAACTAATTCAAAATATAAAAAAATAAAATAAACTATTTTTTTTGAATTAGAGAAAAATATTCCTACAGCGCAACTCATAAAACTATAAAATAGGAAGACGATTGATAGACTCATAAAATATCTATAGTATTGCTTATGTGGTCTTACTATTCCACAGTTTTATAGGTCTCACTGTACAACCTCTATTTTTGGAAGCTTTAAATTTTTCCTCCTAAATACTTTATTCGTAATTTTTTTGTTATAAATTGCTTTCTTTTATAATTTAAATTTACTTTATAATTGAAATATTACAGCACACAGTCTTTATGTAAGTTTCAAATTATTGATGAAATTATTTTATCTTTAAGGTTTTGAAATGAGGAGAACGCGTGATTAACATGGTGTTTCAATAGTTTTTTGTAGTTAACGAATGTAAAATTTAAGCAAGGTTTAAGAAAAATATTGAAAAACTAAAGAATAATATTTCTTGAAGGGGGAGGACGAGGGTAATATGTTTTTACACAAATTCTTGAGTTCTACATTACTACGGTAATAAACTGAAAATAAACCCTACCATTAAAAAGCAATATAGTGAACATTAGCTGGGTTTTCAGGCTAGGAATATATTTTGTAATCTCATTCTTATTTTTTTCATCATTATTACATATCATAATATCCTTAAAATGTAATACTTCTGATTTAATCCTTGATTTAGAAACTGCTTTTGTATTTATTAATCTAAATAATGTAGTACAAAATATATTGCTTGCTTGTTGTACGGTAACCGCCAAAAAAGTCCTTGGAAAAAAAGTTTCCGGAAAAAAGTCCTAAAATTTCACACTACAAAAGTCCTGTGGAAAAAAGTCATTTTATTAAAAAGTCTCCTGAAATAAAGTCCTACCAATTCGAGACTTTATTTTCTAGGACTTTTTCCCCAGGAATCCAAAACATAGGACTTTATTCCAATGACATTTTTTCCAAGGACGAGAAAATTCTGGTTTTTTAAAAGTTTTTATTTCCAGGTTTTTTTTCCAGAAACTTTTTTTCCCGGGACTTTCTTACATAGATTCCTGTTGTACACCCTACTCTGATATTGTTAAACTGTTATCAGTAAATTATTTTGAGGATTAAAGATAAAATCGTCTGCTAGTTTTATCAGTCCTAAATTCCTAGGCCAGGATGAAACAATTTATTCTTTTCTCCAGGTTAAATGATTTTTAATTTCTTATGAAATTTACACCCCCCCCCCATTTGCATCAGAATTTCAAAGTTATAAAATTTTATCTTTTTGGAAAAAAACAAATTGAAAATGAAAAGAATTGAGTCATAGTCAGAAACTAAAATTTTCTTATCCCTGATGGTGTAAACTTTTAATATTTCAAACTCAGATTAGTTGATCTAACAGAATTCATAGTTTGAAATATCCAATGTTTTGACATTGGGTTGCAAAGATATGGGGATTAGATAATTAGAGTTTGTGGAAAAAATATATTGTTGAGAGTAAAAAAGGTTTTTACATATTCATGTTGATTTTCACTGTAGCCTAATGCGCAATAAGCATCAGAATGTTTTTTGATTTGTTGATTTATATTCAACTATATAAGCACACTATAAATGAAAAGTTTAAGTGTAACGGCTGAACCCATTGTTGTAAATGGAATTGTCTACATATTTACCATTTAAAACTAAGACTAAAAAAAATCAGCAGCGAAAAATCTAAGTTCAATGGATGAAAATGGGAAGAACTGCATTACTACTAGTTTGACGTCTAAATTTTTTTTACTTTATGTAGTTTTATGTACTGGATGAACTATGTGCACAGTATAGTGTACACAATATTATAAATGATATTTGTACGTACTGCATATATTCTTTTCATTATAAATTTATCTTTTCATGGCTTAATTCTGATAAATTATATTTTTTAGTTTTCTGCTTGTAGGGACATCTACCTGTAGTGCTCAGGTAAAATTAATTATCTTCAAAACTTTCTTCACAAAATTATTCTTATTTAGAGTTTATTTTGAGAGGGGGCTGCCCGGAGGGTCCGAAAATAAAATATGTTTTTTTTTATTTCCTTAAATGATCTTTTTGGTTTTTATTCCGTGAGAAATTAAAGCAAAAAGTTTTACAAGTAGCTTAAACATATTACATAAACAGTGAAATGAGTCAGTTCACACTTTGCAACAGTTCATTAGACAATTTAAAATACATAACAGACGTTTAAAAGTCGTCATCCTATTTCACAGTTTTCTGGTTCTTATTGTATGTCTGCGAAATCGTTTGGATGTTTGCTGCTCAGTCGCTTAAAAGCCATGGTGCCGTTTTTCGTCGAGGTGCTTTCGCAAGTGATTAACCTGAAATTTTTAACCTTAACTCAACATGGGCGAAATCATGTTTTAAGGAAAATATTACCTCTGCTTCAGTTGCTTCAGAAGTAATAAAATATCATTCAATGAACATTATGGAACTTTCCTAAATGGATTAGAAGATAAAAATAAAATAATAAAAAAAAATTTGAAGAAGTAGATCTGAAAATCTCCGGTTAATTTGAAGTACAGAACAGACTTTTAAGCAGATGCAAGAGCAAATTGTACAGTAAGAACAAAGATTATAGACCGCAGAGCGGGGCAAAGCAAAAGCAAATTGTACAGTGTGCACACAAATTATAGACGACAGAACAAGAGCAAATTGTACATTATAAACACATATTATAGACAACAGAACAAGAACAAATTGTACATTATAAACACATATTATAGACAACAGAACAAGAACAAATTATACATTTTACAGTATGCACACAGATTATAGACGGCAGAGCGGAGCAAAGCAAGGGCAAATTGTACATTATGCACACAGATTATAGACGACAGAACAAGAACAAATTGTACAGTATTCACACAGATTATAGACGACAGAACAAGAGCAAATTGTACAGTATTCACACAGATTATAGACGGCAGAGTGGAGCAAAGCAAGAGCAAATTGTACAGTATGCACACAGATTATAGACGGCAGAACAAGACAGTGCGCTTCTTGCGAGCTCAGCCTTATTGTGAGGAAAACTGATATTAATAATACTTTCCGTTGTGTTTTTAATTTACTTACAAAACCATGGATAACTAAAACCAACCTACAGGGATCAGAATATTATGATCAGTGTATTATGAATCTCTCTGTATTGTAGGATGCTCCTGTAGAGATATCAATGTATTATGAATCTCTCTGTATTGTAGGATGCTCCTGTAGAGATATCAGTGTATTATGAATCTCTCTGCCCAGACAGTGTTGAGTAAGTGTAATCTCGAACTAACCTAGAAAGTAATGTCTATGTTTGTAACGTCCTATAAAGATAATTCTCTCCTACCACTATCTTTTATGGACAAATTTCACCAAATCCTGAAAACTTTCTTCTTTAAGAGGAACGCTCCGATATTTGAGAAAAGGGAAAGGTGCTAATTGTTGAATAAAACTCACCACAAAGGAATTGAGTTTTTGTCACAAAACTCTTATTTTCTACTCCCTATATCTTTGTAACCCACGATGTTGAAGACCTTTGATATTTCAAACTGCAAATTCTGTTTGAAATATTAAAGAAATTCGAAAATTTTAAATTTAAAAATGCAATTTCTTTGATAAATCTTGGATTTGATTTTCCCCCCAAAAATTGACAACTACAGAACTAAAAAATGTTTCTGGAGACAGCCTTTTCAAAATTCAAGGTTTTTTTCTAATTAAGATTGCAAAATTTAACGAGGTTAATTGTTGTTTCTCTCAAATATCTACGTGTAATTTCAAGTGACCCTAAATGCAAAGATGGCAATTTACAACGATACCCTTAGAAGCTAGATATCAGTGTTTACAATGTTGAATGCTGAATATTTTTTAAAGTGGTTTCTCTACAAAAATGAATACAGGAAGAAAACATGTGGGAATTATCATAACTTTGAAAACCTAGAAAAACGACAATTTCTTCCACGTTATTGATCACATAAATTTTTCCAGGAAACCATTGGGAATCGAGCATTTGAATTATATCATTTGAAATTACGCTTCCAGCCTTTTCAAACGTTAGTAAACTACTGGGGATTTTTTTCAACCGGGGTATATTTTTAATTAACTTAACATTTTTTTATAAAAAGTATGCCACCGATGTTTTAAAACTCGGCTTAAATAAAAGATACGAACAGTGAAAAAAAATTGGCCAAACTCGCGATTTTGAACTTTCCTGTCCTGTATTTCTGTTTCTGACTTTTCATTTTTGTTCATGTAATTGTCAGTCTTTATTAGAGCATTTATACATTATTCATTTCATTACAAGATACAATCATTTTCCAAAGGCAAGGTGACCGTGTTATAAAAAGATGTATTTATGAACATCCGAAAAATTCTTGGAACGTTTAAATATTTTACTCTGCAAATTTAATTTAAAAAAAAACATTTTTAATATATTTCTTTTCAAGTAAACTTTTTTAAATATTAAAAATATCTAAAATTATATTTAAATAAGAAATAAAATCACGCAGTTCACAAATTAAAACAATATAAAACCTAAACTTTAGGTTTATAGTGGTAGAATTAGATCCAGTTTTCAAACTATTCGGAGATGCGATCAACGTTCAATTCAAACCTTATGGAATAGCAGAGGTATGTATTTCTTCCATTACCAGCTTAAATCGGTACAGTACAAGTACAGTTTTTAATCGGTACAGTACAGGTACAGTTTAAATCGGTACAGTACTGGTACTGTATTGGTACAGTAAAGGTACAGTTTAAAATCGGTAACGTATTGGTACTGTATTGGTACAGTAAAGGTACAGTTTAGATCGGTAAAGTACTGGTACTCTATTGGTACAGTACAGGTACAGTTTAAATCGGTACAGTACTGGTACTCTATTGGTACAGTACAGGTACAGATTAAATGTATGAATATATTTCTTTAATCAAATTTCTATAAATTCAAATTTGGTATAGAGGGTTAGTCCAAACTTTAGGATTTGTTCAAAGAAATTCAATTCAAATTTAATAAGTATAATCCTTGAAATAATCTTGAAATAATCCCTTTAGAATTTGAAAATTGCTCTCAAAGCTTAAAGGGACTGTAAGCCTAATTTCAAGTGACCCTCCATGCAAAGAATACTCTCCGCTTAAACCAGCTTTCCTTTCGGCCAGTGTACTGCTAACCATTTTAGTGCACACTGAAAGCTTAGTTACCCTTAAACCCTTTATCTGGTTCAATAATGTGGGAAATCTGCGTCGTTTTGCTTGAAAGCGTTTAAATCTGATAATAGATAAATGTTTTCCTGTAGTAGAAATGCGCAAGTCCCTTTGTAGAGAAAGCACAACTGAAAACTATCAGTTTTTCAAATTTTAAACATATCTAATTCATACTTAATGTTGTGTTGATGCTACATTAAAATAATGACATTTTTTTTAATTGTTCGCTGTAAGTTTATCTCCTGCTCAGGGGATTTTCTGTTGAACTAAATGAGATATTTTAGCTTTTCTATTATCATTATAAAATTCTATGAAACAAGTAACATTATACTCTTCTTAGTATAAAAGATTTTTCACTTTGTAAAAACTAGGCTTTCAGGACGCTTTGCGTTCCTCTTTGTATGTTATATTGTGTAAACATAATTTTAAAATTCTCATTCTTTGGAGGCAAATTTTTTAAATTCTAACAGTTAAATATTATTTCTGGTTCACCTACGTTGTGTCAAAATGCATAAAAAATAACATAAAAATACGTATTTTTTCAGGGTTAGGTTCGGTTAAGACAATTTCAGGACCGAGCGCTGCGGCTAATAGTTCTTATGAACTATGAAATAGTTCAAATTAACCAAAATATAGTCTAAATGAAATTTTGCCCGTCGCACTTTTTAACCCTATGTCGTTTTCCAGAATTATCTTAGTCTGATATTATAGTATATTTACTACTCTAATATTCTGGCATGGGGTGAAGGGAGCAGGAGGGGGGGATAGATAAAACTCCTAAGAATGCGCGAATACCTGATAATATTTTCTTAATTCTCTCTCTCTATGACAGCTTGCTCTGACAGCTTGCTTCTATAGTAATGTTAAGGATGAATACGAATGTTATGAATTTGATATTTTTGATACGAATGTTGGGTTTGATTGTTTATCTGATCTTGATACTTGGATACGAATGTCATGA